AACTTCGCAGACTCTCGGGCAAGCAAGCGAGAAGAGGCAGGTTTGTTTAGAGAAAGAGAAAGTTTATTCAGGAGAAAAAGAGCAGATATAAAGTGGGACTCCCAGGCCAGGGAACCAGGCCAGGGAGGGGCAAGGAAGCCAAAGTGGAGTCGTGTCTCAGGGAATAGAGACCTTCTTTCCCTCATTATTCTGAAGCTCCACCAGTCTCTTTGTGATTGGTCAGTTCTCGGCTGTCTCACTTAATTTGCTAGTGAGTGGGGGATCTTCACATTCCTTATCTAACAGCTTTCTCTTCCCCATTTGTTGCATCTTTATCTTTATGGCCCAGTCCTCTGGATGGGCATCCCTGCATTGAAGTTAAACAGCTGCCCTTCTAATGTGTCCATAAATTAAACCACTCTCCATTTCTCCAATCTCTGCCTCCCTTTACCACCTGAAGGAAAACAGGACCAGCGTTAACAATGTTGTCCTTGGTCCTGGGATGTTTGTTTTTCCTAGTGGAATTGGTTACACTCCTCTTGCTGCCCTTATCTCTGAAACCTTCCTCAATTCTCCGAGGTCCCCTCCTGCAGTGTCCCTAAAATTGCCTAATTCCTAGCTTGCCCTGTGTCTCAATAAGGTGACAAATATTAGAAAAAACCTCTCTGACCCTTTTGAGGAAACTGATCCCACAGCAGGCAAGTTGATTTTAGTAGTAGCATCTGAGTGAAAGTAAAAAGTCCCCAGAGAAAAAGTGAGCAAAATTTCTGTTCCCCAAACCCTTCCTAGACATTATTTGCCATAAATAAGTCAACACACTTTCTGGCTGGCATCTAGCAGGGTCTACAAGGACATAAGGGTCTATACAGGGCATAAGTCTCATGTGGGTCCTCTGACTGGCACAAGCTGGGCTTTCTGGGTAATGTTCAGATTTTTGCTTTTTATTAGACAGGTGTATACAGTTCTCCTTTGCTCAAATTGCCAGCCAAGCCTGACTGGCAAATGCCCATTTGAAGACCCATGTCTTGCCCTTACATGGAAACTCCCTATCTCTGTCCTGGTACTGTAGTATTTGTAGTAGACTCCAGGCAAGAGGTGTTTCCACCAGCAAACAACTGATTGTACCCAAGCTTTCCTTCCTGGCCTCTGTGTGCAGTTTTTATTTTATTCCATGGAGTAAAATATCCAGAGGGAAAGAGGGTTTTCTCTAGATACCAAATCTGTTTTGATTTTGGACTTCCCAGCCTCCAGATCTGTAAAAAATAAATGTTCATTCTATGGTATCTTTGCTATTGCGACCAGGATAGACTAAGACATACTGGTCTCCATATCAGGTTAACACTCCCCCACAGGTCAGGGCCACACTGCCTTTCACAACTTAAAATGTTGCTTCTCATTCTCAAGCACAGCCCTGGCTGGCTGTCTTATCCTTGCAGAATGATTAGAGCGAGGGATCGTCAATGAATCTTGTTGGTGGGTCTGAACTGTCTATGTCCCACCAGACGGATGAGAGCAGAAAAGAAACTTGTCTGAAATCCTCTACTGCTGGTGGCATATTCAACAAAAACTTTGTCCTTCCCTTGAAAAATCCTAAAGTCCTTTGCAATATTAAATGTCATAGCTCTGCTGCCTCTTCCTCTTGGTCAGTAATATGTGGCAGTCATTTTGCTAATTAATGTCATGCAGCAGATTGCCAGTCCAGGGATTCCCTAAAGTGACTATTTAAAAAATTACTCTATTTAAATAAAGTAGATTCTGAATATTTAACATTAAAGAATGTGTGGAAATGATTTGGGGGGAGGGAGTGGATGCACTAACACAAGAACCTGCTCATATTCTCTGCATACCTTGTCTCTCAGCTGTGCTGTGGCACAGAGGCTGAGCCCTGGCCATACCCAGCTCTTCTCTTCCAGCTTCCTCCTCTCAATCCACGCCCAGGATCTCACCTCCACATGGTCTAGCTGTCGATTTTTAGGCTAATGGAATTAGAAGGAGAAGATTGCTTAAACTGGCAATGAACTTGAATGGAAAACCAATGATCATGTATTTAAAACGAGAATGAGTGGTGTAAGATCAAATCCAATTTATTGGATGAATTTTTAGCAGGGCACTGGTGTTCTTATTAATAAGAAGATTGACAAGTCCTACACAGGGAGAAAGAGATTTGACAGCAGTTTAAGGAGATTTCCTTAGCGAAAACCAAGCCGAGCAGAATAAGTGGCTGTTTCCTAAAAGCAATAATTCCCCACCTAATCTCCTTTCACAGCTCATTAATTCTCTAGGAAAAAGAAAAGAAAAAGGTGTTTCCCAATTATCCTGCCACAGGAGAAGCTGCTGGTAGATGGAGGCTGAGGCTCGTCAGCCGGGTGCAGAGTACATAGGCTCCCTGGTCCTGCAGCCAGAGCTCCCGAGATGCCCTGGGGCAGGTGCTATGCAGGATGTGGCCCATCTGGGTATGTTGGGGAGACATTTGGCATATGAGGCCCTGCCCCCTATTATTATCTGTGGCCTTGAGCAAAGCAGTTAGTCTCTGAACCTCGGTTGTCTTCATGATTACCGAGAGCTCTGCAGTGTTTTTAGAATGAAGTGCACTGTCCAGGTGAAGTGCCTGGCCCACTGCTGGGCATAGAGCCTATGTTCAGCTAGTGGTGTATGTGCAGATGCATGTTTAGGACATATTTGAGACTATAGATAACATTTAGGGAAGGCAACTTCAATACAACAAATTCAATTTCTGTGGCTCTCAGCTCACACGTGACACCTGGCGGAGACATGCTGGAAGGTGGGATATGGGAGGGGTCATGGGGAGGGAGATGCCTATTTGTACAGATCAGAAGCAGGGAGGGTTCTCCCAGACAAAGAAGGGAGGTCAAACCGGGGTCATCAAATCAGCAGAAGACATGACAGGAAGTGGGTTGAGTACAGTCAGGTTGGCGTCTAGGGGATGGTGGTAGTCAAAGCCCCACCTGGCGTGGAATCAGGGCTTCAGGGCAATGGTGTCAACACCTATCAGAGGATGTCAGACCTATGGAGAGAGGCGAACTAGGAAACTTACAATCTCTGAGTTCCCAGAAGCTTCTCCCTTACAGAACATTTCCAGAGAGGAAGGACATGAAATCTAAGGCAGCAAGTTAGTTGCCAAAACATTCAGAGTCTGACCAGTGAAATTATGTTTTGGGGTTTGGGAACTGCCAAGGCCTATGGGAATTACTGCTGACCCCGTACCCCATCTTGCAGCCTGGCTCAACTCTCCAGGGCCCATCAGAAGAGAGGGTGAGGGCTGGGCTCAGAGCAGTGAAACCAAGTCCCACAGTGGCTCATGGCAGTGCCCTCTGCCCTCATCAAACAAGACATTTATTAAGTCCATGTTTATATAAGAGCATCCAGAAAATGGTTTGAAGAGCTTTTAAAATTTTAGTAGGATCAATTAGTCTCCAAGAAGGATTCACTTGGGCATGACGGGCAGTCTTCTTGTATTTGAACTTCCGTGGGAGAAACCAGCTAATGTGCATATTGGGGTTGGTATCTCACTATCCCCAGGGTACCACTGCACTGGCCATCAGGGGGTTGTTTAGAACAGGAAGGCCTTGATCTCTTCCTCTTCTGCAGCCTCCACAACTTTGGTAGCTGGCTGAGAGGCGTGATTTGGCCCAGGTTCACGGAGGCCACTGCAGAGTTAGAGAACTGGAGACAGGCCCAGTCAATACCTGGGGGATGCTTCAGAATGGTAATGGAGGCAGGTGTGAAACAGATTCTAGGCCCCAGTTCAGCTGCGAGGCTGCTTCCCCTGGCTTCCTCACTCCTGCCCAGCCACCTCAGAGAGGACTCCTACCTGCAGGCACTGATTAGTTCTGACTAAAGCAGGTTTCAGATCTGCCTAGAGGGTGAGGAAATTGTCCTGCTGGGTAAGCCCTTGATGTGTGGGCAATGGCTGAGGACCTGCACCCACTGGAGAGTTCCAGCTGCAGCTCTTCCCCCTCCTAGGAATCTGGTCTTAGTAATGGGCTCCTGGCCTTGATTCCTGATGGCTTGCAATTCCCCAGTGGGGTGCAGTAGGCTGCCTGCTTCCCTTTGCCCTGAGGGCAGGATTCCAGCCCACTCCCTGTTCCTTCCAAGATTGGCTTCATCACAAAGGATGTCTGGCATAACATGACTCAACATCACTCCCCTTGTGGGAGACCCTGCTTGTTCCATGCCCCCTGTAGCCTCTCTCCAGGTCCCACGTGCCTGAGTGCAGCCTGAGAGGCAGTTCTTGGCCCAGCCCCAGGACCTGGCCAACCCAGTCTGAGTGAAATTGGGTCTGAGGATTAAACAATGCCTGTCCTTTTTAGTCACTACCTCTCTGCACTCTGTCTACTCCTGGGGAAGGTGCTTTTTCCTTTCAAAGTCTGGTTGAGGGCTGTGAAAATTATGTTTGCAACCCACAGAAGGCAGGGGATATCAGTCTGCCTAGTCTCTGTCAGTGCCAGGCATACCTCACCCACCAGGCAGCCCTCCTCCATCTTTTCCTGTGTGTCTAGACTGGAAAAGAAAGCCCTCTAAAGCTGACATTTTTAAGCCTCTTCTCCATTCTTTCTTCTGTTAACATTCACCCCCTCCTCAATTCTTCCACTGACTCCCCACCCCCTAAGTTACCAAGTTGGAGGAGAAAGCAACTCCCTCCCTCTTCTGAGCAACACCCTGCTCTCCGAGGCTTGGGAAGGGGCCTCAGGAGGGGGTTGGGGACTGCTCAATCCAGCTGATAGTGGTCTAGCCTGGGCTTGACCAGCCTGGGCTGGCTCCATGTCACCTCTCTCTCTCTTCACATCCTGTTATTCCCAGAGGTCAGAGCATCTCACAACCACTGGTGCAGATGCTTATTTAAAATGCTAGTTGTTTGCCTTTCTCTGTTTCCTTCCCCTCCTGGCCCTCCCTGTTTCAGACCCAACTGACTCATCTGCCCCTGAAGCTCTGCTTTTTCCCTGGTTCAAACCACAGGCCCACTAAGATGGTGAAAGGAAACTACAGTGACAGATAGAAGAACTTTGAAATTCTTAAGTCAACAATACTAGAAAAGAACAGCTGGAGCTCTCTGAGTGGAAGGCGAGGACGTAGTGTGAGGGCTGGGAGGCGGGTAGCAACCGGGCATGGTCAGAGTTCTCTGTGCCCCCTGGGGGTCGCCCAGGACAGCTGATGTGTAGGCTGCACTTGACACAAGGAACACAAGAGAGGGACGCACACACGTCACGGATTGCGCCAGACCATCATAGGCCTGTTCACAGCTCTCAGTGAGTGGTCGCCGGCCTCAGATTAGAAAGGAATTGCCACTCAATTTGCATTTCCAGGTGGGCAGAATATCTCCTCCTTGAATCCATGAAGAGCTTGGGGTGGTAGGAGTGAGGGGCAGGTTTCTCGGTGTAGCCCCTGGAGGAAGCTGTGGGTCGGCCATGAGAGTCAAGGAGGGAGGCGGTCAGGCCGAATGGCAGAGGTGTGTGTGTGAGGACAGAAGTCATGTAACTACATTGTGGGGAAGCCCAGCCTGGCCTGGCGGCTGACGGAGGGCCCCTGACAGAGGCTGGAAGAGAAGAGTCAGTATCGCCATGGGGGGACCAGGTCGGAGGCCACCTGCTCACGGAGGCCTTGAGCTGGAAGGTTCCTCTCCACAGAGCTTCGATGGTGCCTGAGTCCCCAACAGTGCACTCAGCTAATTCTCCCCCTTTACCCCCAGGCTCTGCAGCGTCTGTGCTCATAGAAGCCAGCGGAGAGAGGTCCTGAAGACAGCACAGTCTTCACACCAAGCCCCTGGTTTCCCGGGACCCACTCAGCCCCTCGGGCTCATTCTCTCCATCCTGCTCGGCCTTTATATTCAGCTCTGCCTCGGCAGAGCCCCCTGGCAGGGAGGGGTTGGGGAGGTAGTGGAGGAGCCGGCCTTCCCGCTTCATTTCTGCCAGCTCTTTGGCACAGCAGCTGGGCGTGTTGGTCTCATAGGTGTCATGGAAGGTGTTGTAGTCCACCTCATAGAAGCCTTTTTCCAAAGTGAGGACTGGTGTGAACCGGTGACCCCAGAGCACCTCTGTATCCATGTAGGAGCTCCGTGCTTGGCAAGTCATACCTGGGGGACAGAGGGCCCATGTTTTAGGAGTTGTCACAAACATCTGTCTATCCATTCATCCATCCATTCATTCGTGCATCCATACAACTCTCCATCCATCCATTCATCCATCTACTCATCTACCCAACCATCCATCCATCCAATTATTCATATGCCCATCCATCCATCCATGCATCCATCCATGCATCCATCAAGGATTTGTTGAACATCCAGTTCATGTTAAGCATGAAGCAGATATAAAGATGAATAGAAACTGTTCATGGAAGAGCTCAAGATGCAGAAGAGGCAGAAAATTAGAAATCAACATGCAAGATTCTGGAATGAGTTCTAGAAACTGGAGTGGATAATTCTGGAATAGCTGGAGCCAGCAATGTGGCTCATCAAAACAGCTAAGGTCTAGAAGAATGAACAAGTAAAGAGACAGGAAAAAGGTTTGAACAAAGATAAATTTAGAGTGAGTGATTTAGAGTGAGTGGAAGTTGACAAGCAAGCATTTAGAATACATGGGGATTGTTTTGAGTGAACACATATGGCGAACAATTCTCCTCCCTCACCTTACACACACACACACACACACACACACACACACACACAGCTCCTTGATTTGCACATGTCCCAATGCCCCCATCCCCTGTCTGCTCAGACCTCGCAAGCCTGTGTTGTTTTTAGGTGTTGCTTTTTCTCCTGAGAGGGAGGGCAGCTTCCTTTATGGATGAGGAAGCACTTGTGCTTTGGTTAAGGAGGCCACTGGCTTGTGCTTTTTGGTAACTGCAGGAGACCCCTGCTCAAGTTCCAGTTTTCTTGATCAGGTTCTCATACAAACCAGACCCAGGACAAAGGCTGCTTGCCTCCACCATTTGTGCTCCAATTTGGGCAACCCCAGTGTACCGCACAACCTTTGTGCTCACAGCCTGCACTCCACCCTGTGTGTGGGGGTGCTACCTGGACCAAGCCTCTCCATTCAGTCACACAGCCTCAGCAGAGGTGTAGAGGCCCATGCTGGCCACTGACCAGCCTAGATGAGACCAGATATCTGCGGGTGTGGGGCCTCAGGTGAGGCAGTGGGTGGGGGCCTCTGTGCAAGCCTCTGGGCCAAGCTTCCTGGGCCTCTGCCTATCCTCCTTCTGTCCATCTCTTGGGATGTGGCAGGGGCTGCCCCGGCGGGTTAGGGCCCACCTGTGTCCTGGGCAGTCATCTCCCTGGGCGTTTGGAAAGGAAAGAAACCCCTGTAGGTGTCAAGCTCTATAGTTCACATGTCACTCCTTTTGATTACTTAATCTTCCCAACAACCCCATGAGATAAATTATCGTCATTTTGTTGACAAGCTAAGCAATGTGCCCGATCTCATGCAGGTGGCCTACAGCCAAGCTGGCTATGAATTCACAGCCCTGCTTGGCCCCGCATGTGACACAACCAAACCTTTAGGTGATTAAGATGAGAGGAGGGAGGGCCCTTTCCCTATCTTGGGGGTTTCCCTGAAGTCCCAGGACAGCAGTCAGGGGAACTCAGGCCAGGGGAGGGGAGGTGGTCCACCAGGGAGGGCAGGTCAACTGCAGGCCACTGACTTTGAAGGAGGTGAGGGGGATGGGCCTGCTGGGTGGGGTCAGTACTGCTGCCTCACTGTAGGGGGCCTTGAGGGTGGTGGAGGGAGCAATAGGCCTAACTTTCCCTTCTCTGTGGTCTCACAGTAGAGGTCTTTCCCGGGAAACTCAGCCCATGTTCTGATCTCAGCCTGGCACCAAGGACAACATAATCTGCAGGCTCCCAGCTCTGCTATTGGAGGTGCCTGTGTCCTCAGCCCCAGGCCTCCCACAGCTGCCACCCTGTGCTGCCTAGCTTGGCTCCAGCCCCAGCAGATGGCTGAGCAGCCCCAGGAGTCAGTTGAACTGACTCCAGATGGGAAGGTCTGAGGATGCTCTGGCATCTCCTGCCCAGCAGTCAGTGTCCCCAGAGAGAGGAAGGCTGGTTTGGCCCCCTTTGTGACAGACCCCTGCTATTTTAAGGAGTCCATGGGGTACAGTAAACAAAACTCTGTAAGTGAAAGACTTGAGTCTGAATACTTCTTGTCTGCCCCAAGCCACAGCTTCCACATCTGTAAAATGGGGTTGAAGCTAACCCTATACCTATCTTTCCCAGCCTGAGTGAGCTTTTGTTCTCAGGGCCGGACCTGCTGCTTAGCATACTTGGTGAGGAAAAGAGAACAGAAAGGGAAAGGAGAGAGAAAGAAAGCAGCTAAGACGAAGCCTGCAGGGTTTGCAGGAGGCTCCTCTCCCCAGGACATCCAGCCTTGTCTCCCGGGAGTCCCTCAGAGAGCTGGGCTTCGAAAGAGGAATGGTGGATGCTCTCAGCTGCCAGCTGCCTGTGATGTGGGGGCTGAGGTGAGGTGCCAGACTGACCTGAGGGGGCATTTGCTGGGACCCCCGCTGTGTGCCCCGCTGTGTGCAAGCCTGAACTCACTGAGCCAGCTTTCTGCAGGAACAGGAGGGGCAGGCTGCTGGGGAGTGGGAGTCAGAAGAGCCGCTCCCCTGGGTCTGGAGCTTGAGTGTTTCCCCCCAAAGAGGATTTTATGACTTTTGGAATCCTTGGCTTTGGGAAACACTAACTCATACAGCGATTCACACTATGTAAAGACTCCGCCGTGAGGGTTTTTAGGAAAGAAACCAGTGTGATCACCAGTTTAACCTGGTGTATCCCAAAGTTATTTGATCACAGAACTGCTTCAGGACCAGGGTGGAGGGAGCAGTGGGCCTGTTGGAAATGCGTGCCAACTTTGGGGTTCCCCTACCTTGATGGGTACCCTGACTTTACGGCTTTAGTGCTTGCTCTTGAGCATCTAATTTGTCTGTCAGTGCCTCTGTTTCCTTATCTTCAACTTAAGGCAGAGATCTCATAGAAATGTAGGAGGACATGAAATGAGATAATTACATGTTTAAAGCTTAGAACCCTGCCTGGAAATTGGGAGGATTCAATAAAGGTCAGCTGTTGCCATTACTCCATCTTGAGCAACAGTAACCCTTAGACCACAGTTCAGGGGTTGGGTTGGTTGAGCTGCCATCCCAACATTCTCAGGTGCCAACTTCCATCTTCTGGAGTCATAGTGACTAAGCTCTTGGACATGGTGAGGGCCTGGGAAGATGGAATGACTTACCTGTTGCTTCCACCATCCCTTCTAGAATGACCACGACTTCAAACTCCTCCTGGTCCAGCTGAGCTCGAGACATTTCCCAGAAAGGGCTCTTCTCATTGATCTCATGGGAGATGATAAGCGGGGACACCAGGAAGAGACGGTCGTCCCCAGTGTCAAAGCCCACGTTAATGTCGGTCTGGTTCAGGGGGATGAACTCCCCTTCTTTGGTCTGCCGGGACTTGATGAGCTTGGCACGGATGGAGGCCTCCACGATGTGGGAGTTGCGAAGGTCCCCCACCCGGAACATGAGGCAGAGCTTCTCATCCCGCATGGAGATGACGGCATTATTGGAGAACATGAGGGTCTCCGCTCTCTTCTTTGGCTGACTGATCTTGACAAACATGCAGCCCACCATGAAGGCATTGACAATAGAGCCCAGGATGGCCTGGACCAAGAGGAGTATGATCCCCTCTGGACACTTCTCTGTGATCACTCGAAAGCCATAACCGATGGTGGTTTCTGTCTCAATGGAGAACAGGAAGGCAGACACGAAGCCACTGAGGTTCTCAACACAAGGAATCCACTTTTGGTCACCAACATGGTCCAGGTCACCCCGGATATAAGCAATGAGCCACCAAATGAAACCAAAAAACAGCCAAGTGATGGTGTAGACCATGGTGAAGACGAGCAGGTTGAAGCGCCACTTGAGGTCTACCAGGGTGGTGAAGAGGTCGCTCAGGTACCGGTAGGTTTCCTGGACGTTGCCGTGGTGAACATTGCACTTGCCACTCTTCTCCATGTAGCGCTGGCGGGGCTTTTTGCCTTCTGCCAGCAGGCGTGTGCGGTCGGTGGCAATGGGAATGTAATCGCGGGCCTGTTTGGGCATCTTCTTAGGGTCCCTGGGGGGAACTCCAATCTCCATATCCTTACTCATAGCATTCCTGGAATCACCAGCCATAGCTGGGGCACCTCAAGCTAAAAAAGACATCATCAGTGAAGTGGACTGTTCTGGTTCAAGGAAACACAAAATATCAAGGTCATGCCCACCTTTGGCCTGGCAAAGGCCACTCATCTAATGGGCAGGAGACTGGAATGCAAAATTCTCAAGGTCAGGCACCACATTTTCTCCTATAATTTTCTTGTATGCCTGGTGCCTGGTATAGGTTCTAGCATATGACAGAAACTAAAGAGTTGTTGGCTGAATGAATAAATGAACAGTTTCTAGATGCCAGCACCCATTAAGAATTTGAAGGATTTGGGCCTCCCCGGTGGCGCAGCGGTTGAGCACTGGGTTGCGAAGCTGCCCGCAGCCTCTGCAGTGCCGGTTCGATCCCCCGGCTGCTCCCCGGCCACTAGAGGAGGGTCCCACATGGCGCACAGACCTCTCCTGCCGCCCGCTGCTCCCCTCAGCAGTGTACTTCGGTCCTTCTGCCTGCTCTGCTCCGTGCTCTGGCTCTGGTGAATTCTCTCACCCTCCTGCGCTTCTGACTGTACCCAGTGCTTGTGTAAATAAATAAAAATAAATCTTTAAAAAAAAAAAGAATTTGAAGGATTTAAGGAAATCTGGGAGCAATTTTTAAAATGATAACCATAACAATTTATTAGATGCTTATTATAGTCCATGCATTGATATGGAGGGTCACTTTTCACCACAATGACCATCGAAATTCGATCTCCATTACATAAATACTATGCTGTTTGCTTTTGCAGTATATTTATTTCTAAAGTCTGTCTTCCTCTGCTGGAATGTAAACACCACAAGGGTGTTTTGTGTCTGGTTTGTTCCCTGGTACATTTCAAATACCCAGAGCGTAACCTCGCCCACACTGTGTGCTCTAAAAGTAGCATTTGAATACATCAATGAATAAGTAAGAAAACAATCCCAAAGGGCTTAGATGACACCCAGGCCACCAAACAGGTAAGTGGCAGAACTGACGTTTGGACTCTTGCTAGTCTGGCTCAAATACTATACTCGTCCCTTTATTTCTGCCTCTCTCCTTTCTTTGTGTCTGAGATCTTAGCAACAGACACAAAGCAAAAGGCAGCCTGTGTCTGATTTACCATGTGGTCACTTCTGCTGTCTGAGTGGGGAGCCTGAGTACTTACTAATATGACAGATTGCTGGGTAGACCTACGATTAAGATTTTTTAATGCAGTTATTCCCTGCCTTTTAAGAAATTGAGATGGGCAGGATATTAATTTTAGGTTTTCAAAAGAGCTGTAAACTTGTATGTGGACTCTAAAACAAAAAACCTCATAGATAAAGAAGACAGATGGGTGGTTGTCAGAGGCTGCGGTTAGTGGTGGGGGGCTGGTGGAATTCATGAAGGTGGTCAAAAGCTACAAACTTTCAGTTATAAGTCCTGGGATGTAAGGTACACCACTATGGTGACAACAGCTAGCAGTGCTGTATGGCTTATTTGAAAGATGGTAAGAGAGTAGATGGTAAAAATTCTTGTTACAAGGTCATGCCCACCTATAATTGGCTTGTATCCCTGGTGCCTGGTATAGTTTCTAGTATGTGACAGAAATTCAAGTGTTGTTGGCTGAATGAATAAATGAATAGTTTCTAGGTACCAACAGCTCATTAAGAATTTGAAAGATTTAAGGAAATCTGGGAGCAATTTTCAAAATAATAACTTTATTAAATGCTTATTATAGTCCATGCATTAATCATGATGGACTTTTCACCACAGTGACCATCAGAATTCAATCTGATAATCTCCATTACATAAATAGAATACTACACTATACAATTAGGAAAAAGTTGTAATTATGCAAGAAGATGGTTGTTAATTAGATTTATTGTGTCGATCATTTCACAATATATACATTTAGCAGGTCATTATGCTGTATATCTAAAACAATATATGTCAATTATATATTTCAGCAAAAAATTAATTTAAAAAGGGCTTTAATTTTTTTTTTTTGGAACATACGTCTCACTTGACAAAACCTGTGACATTCATCTAGTGTTTTACTGATTCTGCTCACAGTCACCTAAGTTGCCACAATACTCTCATGAAGCTGGGTGAAACCATGAGCATCTCTGCAGTGAATAATAAAAATTTGAATTTCTGACAATTCATGAGCCAGGCACTGTGCTAAGACATAGGTATCTGTTAGCTTCTTTAATCTTCACGCAAAGCTATTAGACAAGTACTACACCCATTTTTATTATTACACCCCCATTTTTCAGATGAGGAAAATGAATCTCGTATAATCAGTTAATGAGTTGGATTTTGGATCTAAGTTTATCTGACACCCGCCTGAAGATTCACAACACTTATGAAACAATGACTTAGATCTATGAACTGCTCCCTCCAAAAAGTTCTAAGAGTTTCTGACACTGGGAGAAGTCACCTTAGGGGAGAAGTCACCACAGGGGATACTGTCATCCAGTCTTTATTCATCCTTGTAAGCAAACTTTTCTGGATTACACAGGTAATCCCCTATCCAGGAAACAAGTCCCTGATAGAACAACCTGGATAAATGTTGTATAAACCATTGAACCAACTGCCCTATTGACTGACTAATGGAGGAAGATTTCACCCATCACAGACTGTCAGATGTGATGCCTGGTGGCGCCACAGTTCCAGAGTAACTTTCCAAACAAAGGGTCCCTGGAGGGCTGTTTGCCATAGACATCCATTGGCCACTTCCCATTCTACACAGGGCCACCTGCTCCCTGCACCCCCACATGGCAGTTACAAAGATAAATGAAAATAAAGTAGGAGGGAAGTTTTATGTGCTGCTTTGCAGAATCCCAGCATGATTTTGCTCTGCCCCAGGATAGATTTTTGTACTGAAAACCTCTTTGGAGGCCCAAACAGAGAGAATTGCTGCTGATTCCACAGTTCTGTGTGCCCCTGGGGACCCCAGGTGTCAGAGCCCAGAAGGGGAAGTTCTCAGGGAGCGCTGGCTGTGAATTTCCCAGACCAACTGACTCAGGGTAGGTGGGCAGGGTGAGGATAACCATGAGCAATTTTCAGGGTGACTGGGGAAGGTGCATCCCCCTGCCCACAGCTTTTTTTTTTTTAATCAGGTTTTTGCTGATTTTCTGCACGCTTCCATCTTTATTTTTAAACATACTTTTATCCATTCTTGTAGAAAGCAGCATGTGCTGTACTAGAAACAGAAAAAGGTTTTCTAGGACACCTCAGCCCAGATCTGAAAATGTTTTGTGTCCAGCAGACAGGAAAAAGATTTACTCCCAGTTTGATTCTGGAATACATTCCCCAAGCATCCTGCCCTCAGGAAGAACTCCTTGCTCAACTCAAGGAAAATCTAGATTCTAGCTCAGCTGTCTCCAGTCTTGCTCTGTGATCCAAAGAAAAATAGTCCTAACTTCTTTTGCCTCAATTTACTTGTAAACCTCATATAATATCTCTCCCCCTCCAACTTTGGGGGCCATGTGGGAACAGAAACAAAAAGTATAAATATCAATATAGACTCATTAATTTTCTTTGAATTGAGATTTAATGCAAAATCCATTAACCCCATTTTAAAGATGAAGAAAGAGGCATAGAGCATCTAAATGTCTAAAGCCCCAGGGCAGGTAATGAGCTGACACCAAATCTCTCCTACCCAGATTTTTAAAAAAAACACCCATTTTAGAAATCTTGGCTCATGAGCCCATCAAGTCAAAAGGAATTACAGGAACAATGGGAATGAGCTTCTTTAATCAGATTTTCAAGATCCAGTCTAGTAATGCCGGCATCCACTCAGGAAGCATTAACTGAGGAGCTACTATCATTCAATTCCTGTGCTAATGCCTGGCGATGAAGCCTTCAGTAAGACAAATGCAGACCCACCCTTGTGTGGTTTACATTGTAGATCACAGCTTTGCACTCAGGGGTCCATGCAGAGCCTGGTGGAGAAAGGCAGGGAGAAGGGCTTTGGCCGGGCTGGGGAGAGCTGAGTACCTTAGCTGCTCTCTGCAGGACCAGGCACAGATTCCAAAATCTACTCCTTGCTGGTCTCCTTTCATCTGCTGTGTCTATGGAGGTGAAGCTGTCCTGAGGCTTTTGGGAAAGACTAAATAAAGTTTAAACTGATATGAAAACACAGGTGGGGAAAGACTCAAAAGCAGTAATATCATAGAAGTTGTGTTACAGATGATGTATTTTATATGATGACATTCATTTAAATAGACCTGTGTATTAAGAATCACCCCCTCCCAAGAAAACTGCAAGGGGGTGCTCTAGAAGGTAGCAATCCTGGCTATAACAGTTTGAGGGGAACTGCAGCTGGGACTAGCAGGGCTTCCTGAAGAAAGCACTAGTGTGGGTGTGTTGTCTCAGATTGTTTCCCAACTTTGAAAAGGAAAATCATAGAAGTCCTCCATGATTTCCCTTTATTTCCTTTTTTTTTTTTTTTTAAAGATTTATTTATTTATTTATACAAGCACTGGGTACAGTCAGAAGTGCGGGAGGGTGAGAGGATTCACCTGAGCCAGAGAGGGGAGCACACATTGTTAATTTTTAAGTTTTTTTTTTTGTTTTTTTTTTTATAGAGGCATGTTTTATTTATTTATTTATTTGCTTGTTTGTTTTGTTTATACATGCACTGGGTACAGTCAGAAGCGCGGGAGGGTGAGAGAATTCACCAGAGCCAGAGCAGGGAGCAGAGCAGGCAGAAGGACCGAAGTACACTGCTGAGGGGAGCAGCGGGCAGCAGGAGAGGTCTGCGTGCCATGTGGGACCCTCCTCCGGTGGCCGGGGAGCAGCCGGGGATCGAACCGGCGCCGCAGAGGCTGCTGGCAGCTTCGCAACCCAGCGCTCAACCACTGCGCCACCGGGGAGGCCCACATTGTTAATTTTTAAACAATATTTTTTTTTAAAGATCTATTTATTTATTATTTATTTATTTTATTTTATTTTATTTTATTCTGGGTACAGTCAGAAGCGCGGGAGGGTGAGAGAATTCACCAGAGCCAGAGCGGGGAGCAGAGCAGGCAGACCGACAAAATACAC